ATTTGAGTAAGGTGATTGCAATTGGCTGCGATGGCGTCTCGATTTTGCGATAAAAAGAAGAAACGGCGTCGGTGAGTGTGTGTGTGTGTGTGGTGGAGGCTGGTGGCTGGAGGCTGTGTGGTGGACCTTTGACTACTTCCTGGAGACGTTGAGGCGGCGGTGGCTAGGGGACCATCGCGGGGAGCTGCGCGTCCGGAGGGCGAGCTGTGCAGATCCGGATGGCTTCACCTCGGTCGAGCAGCTCAACCCTCTGGGGAGTGAGTCGCCGACGCCGGTGTTTTGACACCCAACACTCTTCCTTAAGCTCCTGAGGGGCGCGTGGTTTTAATCACGTAGTATGACTACAACCCACCACAGACACCCTCCCTGCTCCACACGTGTACACACACCCTCACCCTCTCCCCTCTCCTCTCTCTCTCTCTCTCTCCTCTCCTGTCCTTGGCTGTGCTGTCTGCCTGACTCAGGCACTAATTCTGCCGATGCGTGATTGTGTGTGGGCTGCTCCGAGGGGGCCCTGTGCAATCCGACGGGTAGGGAGTCTGTGCCCGGGCGGTGTCCGGTGTGGAGTCTCTCTCTGATCCTGCCTGTGATGCTGGGTGCGAGGTCGTGGAAGCTTTGATCCCAAGGGGGGGAGCTGATCCCACTCGTAACCAACTCTCAGGGGCAGTAGGTGGGCGAGCTTCACAGGCACGCTCATCTCGATCGTCAAGGCGTCGCTACGCGCGGTCTTCCGCGGGGGGAGCTGCGTCGACGGGTGCGGGACTGCGGCGCAGCCAGTGCCGCGGCGAGGCCTCCGGCTGTTTGCGGCGGGCGGCTTGCTGCTCGCTGCATGGCGAAAAACTCGTCTCGCCACACGCCAAGGGCTTATGCTCTGGCGAGACGTGAGGCGCATGCGCCCAGGAGGGGAGGGGGCATGTGTAACGACACTGCTAGAGATGCCTTTCGGGGCCCAGAGATAAAACTTCTGATGCCATGCGTGACCTAGTAGTGTCCCCAGCTATGGGCGTGTCCACGTTGGAGCCAGGTGTGGTGTGGGCGCGAGAATAGCTCCGCCGTTCATGGAGGCAACCGATGCGAGTCGACTGGTGTGTGTCGTCGTGGTTTCGTATCAAGAATACTCACTCACTCACTCACGTCCAGTCCGTGTGTGTGTGTGTGTGTGTGTGTGTGTGTGTGTGTATGTGTGTGTGTGTGTGTGTGCGCGCGCGTGTGTGTGTGTGTGTGTGTGTGTGTCTCGTCCAGTCCGAGCCTGACTGTTCCCACCTTCCTACATACTGCACCAAGCGGATTTTTTTTCTTTTTCCGTTTCATATGGGAGCGGCCCCACGCGCCGCTCGCACAGGCCGGCAACGTCCTGCAGCTCAGCGAGGTACTTCTCCTGCAGCCGCGGGTTGAAGAGCTTTTCGACCCGCTGCACCTCGAAGAGCGGCACGCTGCGATGCGGGTCGCCCTGCCGCGGGCCGCGGTGGCGCGTGCGCGACTTGAGGAACTCCCTGACGAGGAGCGCGCGCGTTGGGTCGCCGTCGCCAAGCTGGACAGCGCGCGCCGTCTGGTAGCGCGAGAAATGCGACAGCTTCGCGAGGTCGGCCAGCACTGCAGTCTCACAGCTCGCCGCCGCCGCCGCCGCAACCGCCGCCGCCTCCGCCGCCGCCGCCGCCGCCGCCGCCGCCGCCGCCTCCGCCTTCGCGGCCGCCTCCGCCTTGGCCGCCTCGAGCTCCGCCCGATGTGCCACCTCGCGCTCCGCCGCCGCCGCCTCCGCCGCCGCGTGCGCCGCCTCGCTCTGCTGCAACCGCGCCAGCTCCGCCTTGTGCTCATCCAAGGAGGAGAGCAGCCGCCCCACGTCGAGCTTGCCGGCGGCCACCGCGCTCGCAAGGGCCGCGCTCACCTGCACCGCGTTGCACGGGCAGTCCTGCTCTTGCGCCCACTTGAGCGCCTCGGTGTTGCCCGCCGCTGCGAGCGCGCTGCAAGTGCGCTCGTCCCAGGGGAGGTTGAAAGTTGAGCGCAGACTCGCGAGCTCCGGCACTCCGTGCAGCGTCGCTGCCGCCGCGCAGCACGTCTCGTCGGCGGGGCAACCGAGAGTGAGAAGCCGCTCCATTTTATTGATACCAAAGGGAGGCCGCTCCATTTGTGAGCTCCATTGGCTGCACCATTGTCGCTGGGCAGCCGAGAGTGAGAAGGCGTCCCGGTGGCCAGCGAGCGCTGCGGCAGTCGAGACACCCCATGGCGCGCCGTTCGCGTGCGCCCACTCGAGCAGAAGCACGTCGCCGTGCGACGCCGCCACGTCGCATGTCTTGCCCCAAGGGCACCTGCCGTCGACGAAGCGCAAGTAGTGGATGAGCTCGCGCCCTCCAGGCTGCGCTGCGGCGAGCTCGCACAGCCGCTCGCGGGGGCAGCCCACCGCCAGCGACCACTTCAACCGCGGGAGCGAGCCAACGGCCGAGGCCACGCGCGTCTTGAGGTGCAGCTGCGGCGGCGGAGCGCATCGGCGCAGCGCATCGCGGAGGGCGCGGCAGCTGAGCGCGGCGGCGAAGCGATCGTCTTCGCCGATCTGCTTGGCGACAACCTCCGAGACATTGCCCTTTAGGACCTCACTGGCATAGACAGGCATCGTGCGCTGGCGTCGCACTATGGGGTCGTACTCCGTGAGGGACACGTTGGCCGGCCGCACATTGACGAGCTCTCCCGAGCTCACGACGCGAATGAGGTAGCGACCGCGGGCAGTGTCGTAGGAGAGGGCAAAGCCCGTGGCGCCGTTCAGGTCGGCCCGAGCGACGAGGCCATTCAGAATAACAGCGCAGCCGACCAGGCCGCCGGTGGATGCGGGCGCGGCGGGTGCGGGCGCGCCGCAGCTGACATGGATGGTGGCTGCCTTCTTGATGCCGTAATCCGCCACCGTGCGATCCGCCTCGAGCGGTTTTGATGAGTAGGAGAGGCGCTGGAAGCCGGGAGGGACGCCCTCCTTCGACTGGATCTTCAACATGACCAGCAGTATCGAGTCGGATGGAGCGACGTCGAGCGCCTTTGTGCGCCCTTCATATCGATAGAATATCTGGAAGCTCGCGAGGCAGCGCAGCTGCTCCAACGAACCAGCACTGACCGGCGTGCCACAGTGCCTTGTCAGGCGACCCATCCTGGCGCGGTGCGGCAGGGCCGGTCCCGTGCCCGTCGTAGAGAGAAACAAAAAAAGAAAAAAATCTCTTGCCATCTGAAATTTCGACGGAAAATTCTTTTTGCCTCGCTTTGACTCTCGCCGCGCCCAACCAACCTCGCTACCCTAACACCACGCACTCCACCTGCGGGCATGAGTCCCGGCCAGTCCGCGACCTTCCCGTCCACATCGGGCGAGCAGATGTTCACCACGGTGGTCCCAGTTGGCGTACAGCCGGGCCAGACGTTCGTTGTTGCGAGCGCGTCGCGCCGCACTGCGCCGATGCAGCATGCTAGCTTGGTCGGGCGGCTGGTCTCCGTGCCGGAGACAGAGTGGGTGAGCGTCGAAGCGGGTGGCGACCCATCCTTCTGCTACGCTGGCGCGGTGGCGGAGCAGCAAACGGGCCACGTTCTAATCCAGTTTGCGTACACGGGAGAGAAGGAGTGGTTCCCAAACGCCAAAGCCGTGGCGTGGCTTCAGCCAGATGTCACACCGCTATGTGACTCTTTTGCGAGGTTGTAGTCGTCGGCGAGGGTGTGTGGTCGGAGCGGAGAATATGCATTGGTGTTTCTGTAGACGCAGAACACGCACGCGCAGCACTCAACGTCAACCGCCCGCCTCTCACACACGCGTCTCACACAACACCACTCTGGTCTCTGCTCACGCGCCACACGCGTAAAAAAAGACTGCAGCACTCTGCATGCACATGTGCATGCACATACATGGACATGTGCATGTGCATGCACGATCGCATGCGAAGGCTGGGTAGTACGGCTCTAGCGTCTAGGCTCTATATAGGCTACTTTAGGCTAGAGGTACTCGACGGACGACGCGCGTCCCACATGGCTGTGTGTCGCTAAAGTATGTATGTAACTAGTGAGACGATTTAGGTTTGGGGCAGAGCGAGTGGGTCGTGGAGGGTCGTGGAGGGTCGTGGAGGTCGTGGAGTGGCGAGTCACGCTCGGGCGGACAGCATCGATGCCGTCGCCGGACGCGGCGGCGAGGCACGCGGGCGCCGGCGTGGCGCGTCGGCAGGCCCACCACGAGCGGATGCGCGACGAGCGCGCTCGGGAGGCGGCCGCGGGCAACGCGGAGCTTCCGCCGGAGGACGACGCGGTCGAGATGGCGAGCGCCGCCCAGCTGCTGGACAGCGTGGCGGAGGCGGGCCCGAACTACACCCAGCTGCGCAGCAAGGAGACGAAGGCGATGCGCCGGAAGCGAAAGCGCGAGGATGCCTACAGAGCAATCATGCGCCGCATCGCACAAGGCACATCGTGCCGGTAGTGCACATGACGGCTGGCGGCGCCGCTGACGATGGTCACACACGCAGCGCCGCGCCGCTGCCACACACCGATCACGGGGCACCGCGGGCACGCGGCGGCCGCCGGCGCCGGTCCGCGGGGCGCAAACGCGCGACCCTCAGTAGGCGCTCGACGAGCCCAGCGGTACACGGCTCGGCTACCATTGGTCTGTCTATCAATCTGGTGAGCTCGTCCTTCAGGTGCTTCTTTAGCTCCTCAGAGAGGAGAGGCTTGCCGTTGCCATCAGCATCAGAAGCGATCAAGCTTCAAGGTCGAGCTGCCGAACTTGATGTTGATGCCTGCCCACCGGCGTTGGGGAGGTGGAGGTCGTCGAGATATGGAAAGGGGCAGGCAGGGAAGGGTGGAGAAAGCGGCGGCAAGGGCTCCATCCGACATGCGCACAATTCTCGAGTTCGGAGCTGGAGAGATGATCGGCGTCCCCAACAGTCCTCGAGGAGGCGGCCTTCGCTTTGACCAGCGCAACAGCCACGGTCTCCATCCGCTGGGAATGCCGACACCGGCAGCATCGTCACCGACCTCTCTCGATGGCTCCTCCCTCTCGGTCCTCAAGACACATCCTCATCTCCTCACGCGGCGAGTGCGAGTACCCCACAAAGGACCCGAGCACGAGGTCCTCAAGACCACATCCTCATCTCCTCACGCGGCGAGTGCGAGTACCCCACAAAGGACCCGAGCACGAGGCGCGGCTGCTGACCCACCACCGGCAGCACCTCGTGCACGCGATTGCTGTTGAAGATGAAGACGTCGCCCGGCGTGACGGTGAGGTTGTACTCGCGCGGGTGCAGCATGGCTGCCGCGCGCGGCCAGTGAGGGAAGGCGATTCCCACGTCGTAGGCCACGCCGCGCTGGTTGCAAGTTGACATGAGGGCCTCCCAGTTGGTGCTAAAGAGCCGCAGCTCTCCCCCGGATCTGGGCTGCTGCAGCGACACGAGGGCAGAGAGCTGGTGCCGAAGGCGGCGGAGAGGGCGGAAGTTTGGCGCCACGCCTCGCCTCGGCCGCTTTCCTCCGCACGCACTGCTCCACTCTGCAGCGTGGATGGTGTCTGCGTGCGGCGCGAAGCGGTTGCCCGGGCGGTGCATGCGAAAGACGCCCGGAGCCGGGAGGAAGTCGGCCTCAGCAGCCGCAGACCTCGCGGCAAAGAGCGCACGCAGAGTGCGGTGCAGCGCCTCCACCGGGGCGTACAGGCCTGCTCTCTTCGCCGCGAGATCAAAGGCGGCAGTGGCGTTGGCGTGATGCCTCTGAAGGTCGGTCGTTTTGGTGCAAGTGGAGTGGACTTCGGCCCGCAGCAAATCTAGAGGGTGCGGGTAGCGGCCCAAATAGGCACCCAAATCGACGCCCAACGTCTTATAGGAGGCTGTCCTCCTCTGCCACGGCTGCCCTTGCAGCCGCGACAAGACTGTCGTCAGCGCAGGTGCTGCTAGCGCACGGCGCACGACGAGAGCAGGCACCGCACCACTCTCCAGGAGAGCGAGCGGGTCAGCGTGCGCCGAGATGATCTCCTCCACCGACCCGCCTGTTATTGGCAGCCACAAGTTCCGCGCCATCGCTCTCTAAACAAAGAGTGAATTTGACATTGGACGTCGGAGTCTCGGAGTTTCGACACTACGCGCTGCCAAGCATCGGCGTAGGGCGTCCTCGAGCGCCACTGCGCGCACCCTCTCATCTCCTGGTATCATACTGCAGGCAATGGCAAAGAAGACGACGAAGCGTACTGCCGCCGACACAGCCGACGCCGACACAGCCATCGCGCCGCCTGCGGATAGTGGAAAGGGCAACGCGGATGTCCGAGTGGAGAGCTGGATGCCTACTATCCTCATCGTTGTTTCCGTGATGGTTCTGAAGTACATGCAGCGGAGCGGACGCGGAGCGGAACTCTACGAAGCCTGCCAGCACTACTTCTTCCCCGCGAGTCCAGATCCGGCCATGTAGTTGCGTGCTGTCGACGAGGGACCAGCGATGTGGGACGGAGCCAGCGAAGATTGCACCGGCGCACTACGAAATGAGCGGGGCGCGAGCGCGCTCGTGCGACTGCGGCGGCCCCGTCGAGAGAGCACGCATGTACACACCTCTCCCGCGCGCGAGACGCGAGCGAGTCGCCTCCGAGTCGCACAACGCAGTCGTCGTCACACGTCAGCGCGGAGGAGAGAGCCACACAGGCAAGTGGCGCGATCTTACCGTGGTCTCATTTCGACACTGTGTCAATGTCGCATCCTTTTTGACGTACGTGCGGCAAAACGGGCACACGTACACGCGCGCGCGGATCGCACGACTCCCTATGACAGTAGACTAGAGCGCAAACGGTGTGCACACCGCCGGCCTCACTTGCGCTTTTCGCGCCCGCTGTTCTGCTTGCGGGCGGGCTTCGGCTTCTCGCGGCCCGACCCGCCCTTGCCGCGCCCGCCCTTCTTGCTCTCCTTCGCCTCCTCGGCGAGCAGCGCCGCCGCCGCGGCCTCAGCGCGCTCCTCGAGCGAATCGAGCTTTCCGCGCGTCGTCTGCTTCTCGCCGCCGCTGGGCAGCTTGATCGTGTAGAAGGCCCCGTCCACGTCCGCGTGGACCTGCATGATCTCCACCAGCACCGGGTCGCTGGACCGGTCCGCCTCGTACCAGCACTTTGCGCCCTTGAGCAGCGGCGGCCGCGCCTCGGCGGCCCGCCCGCGGCGCGCCCTCGCTGACGGTGCCGGCGGCGGCGAAGCTGCAGACGCCTCCACCGCGGCGACCTTCTCCTCCACCGCCTGCAGCTTCGCCTCGGCTTGCTTGCTTCTCATCGACTGCAGCTTGGCCTCAAACTGCTGCTCCTGCCGACGCCGCACGTACAAGAGTGCCGGCAGCGCCGCCGCCGCGAGGAGGAGAAGCACCACCGTGACCTCGCCCTCGCCAACCATCTGCATGCTCCGCGTTGACAGGTGCAGAATGTTTTTCTTTTTATATTGACGGAAAACAGCACCCTGTACGCTAGGCTGTCTGGCGCTCTGCAGGAGAGCCTTGTGGGAGTTCCATGGAGACAGTCAGGTGAACCCGAGGATGTTCGCCAGTAACCATGATTCTTTTTCGCACGACACTGACAGCTAAGTGCCTCGCCGCCCTCGCAGGAGTCGCTTAGGCGGCTCCCGTGGTGTGCCAGGGCAACATTCTTTTCCGCACGCCGTGTACAGCGCCACTCCTCAGCGCTCCACGTCCCGCAGCCCGACCGCAGTGATGGACGAGTATGCGGCCTCTGTGGCTACGCTCGTGGGCATGCTCGGGATTGACGCCGGCCAGGCCGGGACGCTGCTCCAGAATGCGGGTGGCAACATTGAGGCGGCCGCCTCCGAGTACTTTTACATGATGGAGGAGGGCGGCGGGACGGACGGCGAGACGGACGGCGCG